CTGAATTGTCTGTACAATCAGCTCCAGGAGCTGAAATGTGACAGGAAAAGATCAGGCTTGATCAGAGATTGCCTTTTCTGGCCTTGAAATCCATTAAAACAATGAGAACAGTGGTCATCCTTCCACAGGTGGAGAACAAAGTCCCAGCTGCAAGTGGAAGAGGAGATGAGTTTAGAGAACACAGCAGTAAAGATTTAGGAAAAAAGTTTTAAGGAAAAGGAAGACTAAACAGCCATTTGTGTGAAGCTTTTAGAATTCTGAATAGAATTTTTGATGCATATTTGTATTTACAAATTACTTCCCACATTCTGATAATGTCAAACAGAATTTAATACTGAACATGTTCAGTGATGGAGACTGGATTTTAAAGTTCTGTAAACAAAATATGATGTTTTAAGAGATGTGGTGAATAATCAATGTGATTAATAAGGTAGGAGGAATATAGACAGTGAGAAACCAACCAACCAGGACCAGATTAAGGTCATTATTCCTAAAATTTGACTGTTCAGATATATACTGGTATGGAAAGTGAGTGATCCTCCTTTATTTGGTGAATTTCTAGACAAACCTAAGGGGGGGTAAAATTGCAGATCTTTGTATTTTGGAGATTTTGTTTCTTCTAAAGAAGACCACATCCATGATGAAAGGATTAAACACCTGCTTACATAATTTAAATATACCTAATTAACAATTATTTAGTATAATCCTCACTCTTTTATATGGAGTCTGCAACTCATTATTCCTAATATACAGACCCAGTTTGGGTCTGTAGTTTGGGTCAATACATTATTATAATTTAGGATATCTTCATAACAGTGCTTTTTCTCTAATTATGACGAGAGCACACTAAAATACTTCCATTATGTCATGGATCAGTTGTTCTTTTTTTTTTTTTAATCTTGAACATGCAGAACAAAAGGAAAAATCTGAAAGAAACTGATTAATTAGACTGCAGCTTTATTAACTTCTTCCATTTGGGAACTGCTCAGGAGTGGTACATCCAATCAATTTGTCATTGTTCTGGTAATTATTTCCAGGTGTTTGGTGTATTGTCAGCATCCCCTACTGATTGCAGCTGTTCTCTAGATTGTTACTCTGTGCCCATCTTCTATGTCTTAAGTAAACACTTCAAGGCTTTGGAAAAAATGACATTTCCTCTATCTATTAACCATTGAAAGTTTTGGTTCAATCCTTTCCTCACAGGTAGATGTTTTACCTTAAGTCTGCTCATGAAATTCCAGTAGCTTTTATTGGTGATCTCTGCAATCATCTGTTGATAGATTTTTGCTGTTAAGCTCTGGGGACATGGTGGGATTGTTGGGGTGTCCTGTGTAGAGCCAGGAGCTGGACTCAGTGATCCCTACAGTTCCAACCCAGGATATTCTGGGATTCCATGAGTATTTCTCATAGCTGCAAATGGTCCTAGAAACCTGCAGTTCTTATCATTTGTACTCCAGAAGCAGAATTGTTTCATGGGGCTGCTGTAATGACTATAGAAATGGGTATTGTGTGCAATTAGAAGGGACTGAAGAACTGCCTTTAGTCTGTAAGGACTCCTCACAAAAATTCACAAAGCCAAAAAGGGACAATAGGGACAAGAGTGGAAGAAGCACACAGTGAAACTGAAGGACAAATGGGTCATGAGAAGAAATGGATTTAAATTATCTACAAGTACAGGCAGTATGTCATTAAAGTGTCTCTAATGGAAAGAACCTGTCAGATTCTGGAGTTCATTTTGGAGCGAGTTTCCCACTTCACATAGGATTAATTGGGGTTAAATGTCTGAGCTGTTTCTAAGATGGAAGCTTGATAAGTTTATGAGTGTAGCTATTATCATATTAAGATTATTATTAATTATTATCACTTGACTGATTGCAGTGGCAAGGAAGCAGACCTGATGGCTTCAGATGTCTGTGTTTCTTGTGTCGACACAATTTCCACTGAAAGTAATTTAATATAAATTACAGAGCAACTTGAAATGCATTTGGAAAGAAATGGATAGCTAAATGCAGGGTTGACTTTTTCCAGATAAAAAGGTTTCTCTAAAAAAATAACTGGGCTAGCTGAAGCTCCACTCATACCTTTAGCCTAAGAGTAGTTTGATACCACTGCCGTAAAAGGATTAAAATATGTTAGTTGGCACTGAGACAGATGAGCCTTCCTCACCATAATTGCTAGTTTCTTTGGTTATTAGATTCTAAATTGTGAACTACTAGATCTTGTTATGTTTTAAACAACCTGCTGTGAACTTTGATACTCATACTTTTTTGGTTTGCCTATTTGATTGTGTCTATTTAATAATTTTTACTTCATTATTCTGGAGATTTATTTCACCTGATGTGAGCTTTCTAAGATTAAATATCTAATTCAAACTCTTTTAATGGGTTTTTGGTTTTGTTTGTTTTTGTTTCCTTTTGACCCTCTGTGCATTTTTCCTCTGCCCTTGAGTGTTGATTTTTAAATCTTTTTGCAAGGGATATCTCCTTGGATATTCAAGTCTAAGAAGATAATTTTCCTTCTTGCTTTCCTGATGCCACTGGCCAATTATCAAATATTACTTCTTTCTTTCATAGTCCAATATAAATATTTATCTGATGCTACACACTGTTAATTCAACAGAAAACAGTAAAATCTCTTCAGTACCAAAATGGAAGTTAAACAATTTTCAGGCATTTGATTCCAAAATCAAAAGCTTGCTTTGGCTGCCATTTCATCTTGAATTTCTCTAAAATTCAGTATTTTCACTTACAAGGGTTTTGCTGCTGGATGCTTGGAATCACTTCCATCTCATCTGAATCCTACATAGAGCTTAAATAAATGGAAAACCTTGCTGGGGTTTCCTGTGGTTGCTTGTGTCCCCTTGGGTTCAATCAGCTCAGTATGCTCCAAGAGTGCATTTTGGAGCAAACTCTTTATTTACGCTGGGATTCTTGGTTTCCCTCAATAAATAATTGGAGGGAAGATGATGCCTTGCAATGTTACACTGGTTAGATGAAGCCAGTCCTGCACTGGGATTGAATTCCCAGTTAGGAAACTCACATCCAACCCTTGCTCACATGCTGGGCTCTCAGCTGTTCTGTGGTCGCTCTCAATATCTCCTTTTACAGGAAATATTTGAGTCAATAATAATACTAATACTAATAGTGTAGTTTTAGTCCCAATTTTTAAACATTCTCAGCCAAGAGTTGTGGTTAAAACTTTGCAAACAACTGTTTGAATTAAAGTGTGTGTTAGAAAAAAAATCTTTGAGGCATCAGAATTCCTTGCTCTTAATTTCAGTGATTTTTGGCACACAGGTAAAATTCATGGGAAGGTAGGGACAGGAAACTGTTGTCCCCTTCCAGAAACCTTGTTTTCTTTTTTTGCCTTGAATTTCAGCTCTGTGATGTTTAGCAATATAGCATTTAAGTATGTTTAGAAATTTTCTTTTTTTTTTTTTTCCTTTTATCTAGCAAGGATTGTTTGTTGTCTCCTAAGAAATTTGTAGAGTTTTGCCAATCCTATGGAAAGTTAAGAGGAATATGTAGCTTTAGAAATGAGCCACTTGAATTGTATTTTGAAATTTTGTATTACCAACTTATCATCCAAATGATAATTTGCAAATGATAATTTGAACACACAGTCCTAATGGTAAATATAATAAGGAAAATAGTTCTGATGGGAATTGGTCACTGTGGCTGTAATAAATCCCTCCCCTACTATCTGCATTGTTTTATGGGAAGTTTTGCCATCTGGGATTTTTTTAAATGTTGTAATGGTCTTAAAAGCAATGTAAATATGCCTTGATTTCACATTGCAAGTACTTTCTTTTTGAGTTTCTGCACTGAAGACATACAGTTTTTGTTTTTTTTTTAACAACAGCAAAAGTTGGGTTAATATAAAATCTGTGGATCATAGCAAGACTGGGAGAGGTGAGGTTGTTCAGCCTGGAGAAGAGGAGGCTCCAGGGAGACCTTCCAGTGCCTAAATGGAGTCCAGAGGAGCTGGAGAGGGACTTGGGGCAAGGCGTGGAGTGGCAGGAGAAGGGGGAATGGCTTCAAACTGCCAGGGTGCAGGGTTAGATGGGATATTGGGAAGGAATTCTTGCCAGGGTGCAGGGTTAGATGGGATAGTGGGAAGGAGTTCTTGGCAGGGTGCAGAGTTAGATGGGATAGTGGGAAGGAGTTCTTGGCAGGGTGCAGAGTTAGATGGGATAGTGGGAAGGAATTCTTGGCAGGGGCAGGGTTAGATGGGATAGTGGGAAGGAATTCTTGGCCAGGGTGCAGGGTTAGATGGGATAGTGGGAAGGAATTCTTGGCAGGGTGCAGGGTTAGACGGGATATTGGGAAGGAAGTCTTTCCAGGGTGCAGGGTTAGATGGGATA